ATCAACTTTTACAAAAAATTATTTTTATTATTATTATTATTATTATTTTGGTTATGTTGGATACCCTGAATTTCTGGTCGAGTTGGTTGGACATGTGGGTGAGGTCGTTGATGGAGACGGCGACGAGTTCTTCATTTCCGTCATTGTAGCACCAGTGGGCCGCGCCAGGTGGGATTGCAATGATGTCTCCTTGTCGGATTCTGTGGACCTTTTGGTGCAAATCCCTTACGCTTCCCTTTTGTTTGCGCTCCCATTCTTCGGTGGACTCGCGAGTTTGCTGGGTCTTGTGCGCGTGGTAAGTCTCCGCACAACCGGGGAACGTGATGCTTATATACCCTTGGCCTGCAAAAAAAATATATAAATAAAAAATGGTAACAATACATTTCAAATTAATATATTACACTATTACGTGGATTGTGAATTGTTTGGAAGTAGGTAGGGTAGAGTAGGTTAGGACTTAGGTACCTTTCTGGATGAAGACGAGGCGGGGGGTAGGATGGTAATTTGGAAGGGAGAGTCCATGGGACTTTAATGTGTTCCTCATGGCAACAACGCCGGCGCACTGGAATTGGTCCTCGCGCTCTTCCCAGAGCTCGGTTAAGCCGCCCTCGGACTGGATTCTGCGGGACGGCTGGGCGGCGGTCAGCCGCTGGAAACGGCACTGTTGCTGGCGGCTGAGGCGGGGGGAGGAGCCTCTCTCGGCCACGGCGGAAGAGGCGGCCAGGAGAGAGAGGAGAAGGGAAGCGAGGAATTTATGGGCCATTTTTCCTTTTTTGGCGTATTTTTGAATGGGGTGATTTTTTGGTGAGGAAATTCGGGTTTTTTTTATAGAGGGGAAAAGGTGTCTGTATTTGCATGGGAGGGGGTTGCTGGTCACGTGACACCTGGTGCTTTTTTTTTATTATTATTATTATTTTTTTTAGCGGAGAAATTGAGACAAATATGTTTTGTTTGTATGGGAGTGTGTACGTGGCGGGTGGGAGGGGCTGAGGTTGCAACACCTTTTGCATGGTGGACAACACTTGGCTGAGGTTTGTCTGTGGCTGGGGTTTATGTGGCGATTTGTGGAAGTGGACTGATGAGGTACAAGTCGACTTGCATGAGGTACAAGTCTAGTCTAGTGTGGTAGTGACTAAATTAAGGCTATGTTTGGTAAACTACCAAACTTAGATAACAAACTAACTGATAATAGCAAGTCAACTGATAGTTGACAAGTGAATTTCGAAGTTATAGTTGATAACTTATGGTTTATGGTAGAAAAATTAATTGGTATGATAGAAATGTTTGGTAAAATTAGTTGATAAGTCAGCTCAAATAAAAATTTCAACAGGCTTATTTAAAAAACTAATCAAGAAAACTTATGGATGAGCTCGAACTTTTTAAAAATGCTCGTTCTACCAAATCAAAGTTTATTTGCATATAAGAAGCTTACAAGTTAGTCAAATGAACTATAAACTGCTTATGGTACTTACCAAACATACACTAAATTGGAGAATTTTACTTTTTGGAGGTGGGGTGGTTGGTACTGAATAAAATAATTATTATTTGTAATGTTTTGCTTAAGGATTAAATAAATGAAAAAAAAAAAGTTGTTTTAAGTACCTGGAGTTATAACGCACTGTATCTCCAACGGTATGTGAACGACAGGATTGTAGAAGCAATCCATTAAAAAACTTCTTCAGCAATGATTTTTTTATTTCTATTTGTGATGATGTGGCATGAAAGAGACACAATAATTCTAAAAGTACTCATATATGTGAAAGTTCTTTTAGACTTGATGAGTCATTTTTTTCTATTATTTATAATACAAAATAAATAGATAATATGAAGATAAAAATAAAACACATAAGACTAATTTAAATGGGCTTGAATCTCTATTTGTTCCACGTGGATGAAAGAGTATCTATTTAATTACCACATACAATACAATTCAGCTCACGGTTGAAGATACTCTTAGTCATTAATATTAACCTGTCCAATCAGAATATCGACAATATTGCCAATCTAGTAGATATTATAGTATATATAAGTTTTGATATCAAATAAAAAAAAAAAATTGTAAGTACTTATATTTTATAAGTCTCAACTTCTAATAAGATAAAAATAATACTACCAACTTCATTTTATTATTTCGTAAGTTATTATACTTTTTTATAATTTTTTTTTTTTTTGACTTATTTTAGTTCAATATTTTCTAGTATTTTACCTAATAACTCGAGTTCAATTAGGTATTAATTTTTTTTTGCGATATTTTGTTTGTATTATGCCGGATCATGGCCAATAATTGGTATTGTCAATCAGTATGTATCGTATTTTAATCGTTGTTTAGACAAACTTGCACCCCCGATAAATAAAATGATGCTAGAACAAGATAAATAATAATATTATAAAGTTTATCTATTTTTATACATCACAATAATCAACAATCTTTATATTTTACAACCTAATATGTCATCTTTTTCGTCGAACGTTATGTAGAAATAACATTTTTCCAATTAAGATTGGGTTCTTACTTCTTAGAATGACTGCTTATATTAGCAACTAACATAACATTTTTCCAATTAAGATTGAATTTTACCTTTTCACTTACTATAAATTGTAAACTCAAAAGAGAATGAACAGTGAAAAAACACGAACAAGCAAGAAACATGAGAAAGAGACTTCGTATGCAATTTTTTATACTGATTTCACAAAGTACTGCAAAATTTTACAGTTTTAAAAATAGTCCCATAAACTTCTTCAGAGCATAGAGCAGTTTGAATTTAGATCCATAACTATGACACATTGATAAATTTCCAAAGAAACATGTGATCTTCAAGTTACCTTATACACTGCTTCATACATCTGGATAATAGTAATNAAAAAAAAAAAAAAAAAAAAAGCACAGAAAATGGTAGCTCAAATTCAGAAAGTCGAGTAGGCCGTTCATGAGTGCCACTACATCAAATCAGGATCCTCTTCATAGTCAAAATCAGCTTCGCTAGACTGCCTTCTCTTCGCCTCCCTCGGCACTCTACCTTTCCTCGGTTTTCCACTGCAAAAATGTTGACCATTCATAATACAAATACGCAACACACGCTAAAAATTTAGATGGATTTGCAGATATAACCCTGAGATTTAATCTAATAACAGGATTTCCTCAGTATCTTTAAATGTGTGAGTGTTTATGTGATTTACATAGAATTTCTTTCTAATTCTGAGTAAATCTCAGATAGTTTATGTAATTATCTTGTGACGGTGAATAATATAGGGCAACCTTAGTAGTGAGGATTTCTTGTACATATACAGAAAAAGAGGAAGTTAAATGCTTACGGTCCGTTTGCAGAGACTCCACCATCTCTTGCAACTTCTTCAGCCTAATACATACGATAAAATCAAATACTACCAGACAGCTAAAAATATCAAGAACATCATAAAATGCTCCAAATTTCAAGTTGAAAACATTAATAAGTTTCACGCACGTAATAAAATTGCAATGGGTGTAATGTAAGACAAGAACGTTATGAGAAGTAAAATATTATCATTCTCAAATTCGAGCTGCAATATTTTCATTGTGGCCAGGACATAAGCTTGCAACTATCCTTTTCGATTTAATCAACAGGCACAAGGTTAAAAGATGATCAGAGGAAAAGAAACACTCTTGAATTTTCAACGGTCAATTTCTCATTCGACATCCACAATACGACATGCAAGATTGTCATCACAAAAATGTCAAAACAAATCGGGCATGATTAGGCTCGCGATAAAAACCTAAGTCAAGCTAGTAAAATTCTTTTATCACACACCATAAACCAAATATATCAACTTGAATCATATTTAAAAAAAAATATATATATTGTTATGTTATGTGTGAACCAAGTAAGAAAATTCGTACAGCCGGGGACGTGACAGAAGATAATGAGAAGAGTCTGTCTTCAGGTTGAAACTTCCTCGATCGTTTCAAGCTGCACAGGGAAAATAAAGAAAAATTCATTCTTGGATCATACAACAGAGGATAAAGAAACAAAAAATCATTCTTGAAATTTCAAAACAAGACAATGCCAAAGGTAACAAGTGAAAACGCATTCAGTATACCAATCCTAGGAATGAATTGTGGTCTAAATTAGCATAAAAATTTCACACCCTAATAGCCGGTTTATAAATGGATGAAAAATCATGCTATCATATTGTATTCTTGTTTCACTATCGTGTTTTTGTGTTATCTGCTTTATTTGGTCATATGTTCATGTTTTGTATCGTGCCATGTCATATTCGTGTTTTGCATCGACCAAGCCATTGCCACAACAAAACCATGCAAACTGTATTTCTTAAATATCCATACAAACATGAAGTTTAAAGCGTAATAAGTACCAAAAGAAAAAAAGAAAAACTACTTACAGAGTAGTGTTCTTGGAGGATGACAAGAACCCCTCAAAACCTTTCAAGACATTGCCACATTGGCTTGGATCCTGCAAATAACTCGTCTCCATATCATATACCTATTCCAAGAACAAAAGGTCATTTAAGAAACATTACATCGTACAGTTAAATACATGTAAAACAAAGCCTTAACAAAAGGAGAAAAAGGACCATTTTTTTTCCACCTGTTTTTCTATAATCCGGAGGTCTTCGTGCAGCTTAGCCCTTTTGCATAAAAGGGTCGCCAGCATTGCCGATGGGTTCGAAGAAATTCGTTGCCCTAAACAAATTTGTCAACAATAGCACCAAAATAAATAAATAAATAAATATCGGAAAAATCAATCAGAAAAAATCGGGAAAAAAATTATGAAATTTGTACTTAAAGGTAGGTGTATACCTTCGGAATCCATTCTAAGGAACAAAGATTTAAGGTTTATGGGCTGTGATGGATTGTGTTTTCTTGCGGCCTTTTTCCTCGTTTTTCCTTTGCTTCTTGCGATCAAGAACTGTGGAGGAGGGTATGCGTACGACGACGTTTCGATTGGTCTCGACGGGACAAAGTCGATTGGCAACTTTGCCCCGGCACTTCCTTGAGTTGTATTGCCAATAGGAGAAATGTATCTGGCAGTAGCGAAAACTGTGTGAGCCGTTTTAAAAAACTTTATTGTTTTGCTCGAAACTAGTGTGTATCTCGTGCGATGTACGGGTAAATAATATCAAATAATAATTCTAAATTAAAGATCAAAGTAAACAATATTAACTAATAATCATAAATTAAAGGTGCGGAGTTAATATATGATATAATTTATTGTATATAGAAAATTATCTTGTATAAAATAATTTACGAAAATGCACGCTTAAAATATTATATAACGTAGGAAAAAGTATCTAAAATTTTATATATCATTATAGAAAGATGTGAAATATGTGTGAAGTCACCTAAAATAAAACCTTATATCACATGTGAAAAATTACCTGAAATATTCTATTTTATTTTTGAAATATGCGTGAAGTCACCTAATAATTTTAACAGTATCTAAAATATTATATATGTTAATAATATTACAACCAAAAAAACATTAAGAATATCTAGACTATTATATAACGTATATAAGAGTATCTAAAACATTATATATTATTCTTGAAAAATGTGAAATTACTTAATTTTTTCTAAACAATTTTATAAGAAAAATATATCTAAAACTCTTAAAGTTAACATCTACATATAGATCCCTCTATATAGATCCCTCTATATAGAAAAATAATAGGATTTGAAATAAATCTCACGTATAGATAAGAATAGAAAGTAACAAATTCATGAATTTTTAATTTATATAATATTTAGTTGAATAAGATAAGAAAATTCAATTGTTTATATAAAAAAATTATATTAATTAAACATAAATAAAAAAACACTTTGTATTAAATTGGTTGAGTTTGTGTTATCATTTTGTAATCTACCGTGATATTGGAACTTTTTTATACATCATATTTTATTTTATTTTATACGTGTATCTATCCATTAAAATAGGATACAAATTACTCCGCCATTTTTTTTTTAAATTTGTTCGATTTAAGCGTGTATCTGTTTTGAATTCAGATGTGTATTGAAATTGAAATTTTTAAACCAAATGTCTGAATTAGAAAAACTTATCGGATTGTTCTTGTCGAAAAAATTTGTAAGCTATAGTTAAAATATGTCAGAATCCTAAATGTCAATTTGCTAGTAATACTATACACGCATTTAATGTTGCACGCGTGACTTGAGGAAACAAAGAAATAATTTTCTAGTGATAGAAAGTAATTAATGATAACATAGTTTGACTAAGAATTTGATTTTCTTTTTTATAAAAAAAGGTTATTCTTTTTATGAGAAATGCTATGGAGCAATCTTTTTTTATATAAGAAAAAAAGATTACTATTTAAAATATTTAAATAGTTAAAATATTTATACTGAATAAGAAAAAAAAATTATTTAAATTTTATATACTTTTAAAAAATAGATTACTATTTGTATTTAAAATGAGACCTTCATTTCATTTGTACGATTTGACCGTCGTATATTATAATAATTTTTTGATTAATATGTAATGAATTAATTGAAAATATTTTTAATTGATATATAATTTTATTACTTTTTAATTAATACTAATAGTGATTTAATTTTATAATAAGGAAAAAATAGAATTATTTATATATTTTATTATGAAATATAATATCAAAATGAATATCGTCGAAAGATGACAAGTTCGATATGTTATATATGAAAAAGTGATAAGAAATGTAAACGTTACTAATTCTTAAATGTATCTATAATTTAATTTAGTCAAATATTTTATAATATTAAGCACTTTTGTTTGCAATATGGTGCAATAGATACATTGAGATTATTTTTTATTTATAATGCAAGTAAATAGTAACATGAAAAATATTATTTAACACTATCATTACTGACTA